ATAAACCTTAATCACGTCGGACAAACAAAAATTTCAAGTATTAAGGATGTTTTGGTTGTATAATAATAGCTAAAAGCATCAGCCAAAAAATCAGCTAAAAAGTCAATATCAATTAATATCAGCCAAAAATATTTTATCGTGAATACATCCTGAAACCAATTACAAAAAATAAAAGAAATAATCTTGCTTTTAATAGCTTTATGCAGCGAAATGACTATATTTTCTTGCAGTTTTAGGTAAATAATTTTTAAATAAGTGGCTCCAAGTATAAACTTTTGTATGAATGTTTATTAGAATTTTATTAGTGTAGATAAAAATTTGTTTTAATTTTTAATTTTACGATCTTATTAAATTTGCAAGTAAATATTACAAAATGCGATTTTACATAAGAATTAAGGAAAACAAGAAAATTAAATAATTTAAAAAATCATGAGAACTGTGTTCAAATTTTACACATTCAGATATAATAATAGAATCTGTGAAATTTTTATATTCATGGTAATGCTTTGAAATGTGACACATACATCCTTAATAAGATTTCAAGACGAACGAAAGAGAGAATCATTTCCTCTTCGACGATCTCTTATAGGAATTATTCGAATATTATGACTCACATGTCGAGAGTGCATAAAATATACATCAAGCACTTGAGAGTTTAAGCTCTCCACGGAAACCGACGCGAATTTGTAATGTAGAATGAGGATGGAGAGGCAAAACCGACTTGCCTTGCAGTCCTCGTGCGGCACGCTACAGTTGTTGCATCCCGTATCCCGCATCCCGCATTCCGCGCTCGCATTTGCAGGGAATTTTTAAACGTTAACCCGTTTAATCGGATTGAAGATAATCGCGCAGTTTAAGTACAATCGACCGAAATTTGCCTATCGCATCGGCGGCCGTTTATTTGCACGAGATGCAAGCTCGGCATCTCTCGCTTGAAAATTTCGGTGATACGATTTCCCCGGGTTTTACCAAACGACACGTGGCCCGCAGGCCACACGAGGCACTTCTTTTTTCGGAGTTGGTGCAAGAGAGACGGACTATTATTCGGCTCTGCACAATGCGCCCAACGAGGCTTTCACTCGTTATCGGTAACGAGCTACCTTCGACCCATCGACATCGGGAAATCGCTGGTGCGCCTCTTCCATGATGTCTTTTATCAGCTACTTTAGAGAGTTTCTTTGAGAGTTTGCTGGTAGAATCGGCAGCCAATGAGTAAAATCAGAATTCGGATTTTCGCAACGTTTTACAGCAATAAAGAGTGATTATTACAATACTAAAATTTATTTAGGCTAGTTTTCGATGCAATACATATTGCTATAATATAGTTTTCATATTTTTTTCTAAATGCGAATGCCGATATTTAAATTAGAGACAATGTCATATGATGATACGTAGATTTGAGACTGCACAGTGTTAGATCAAAGAAGCAATGGTAATTTAATCTCTTGAATTAAATAACATTTTGTCATTTTTAATTTCTATGTGTATCTATTTCTGTGGCCAGTTCAACGTAAACAACGTCTATATTAACGTACACTCTAAAAAAATGTGTGTAAAAATCGGTGTGATTTTAACATTCCTAGTGTGGATTTAACACCCATGATCAATGTCTTACTATGTTGGTGTTAAATTAACATCAATATGATATAGATTTAAAACCTCAGATGTTTTTATATTAACACCATCATTACGAATTTAACATCATGGGTATGTAGGATTTAAAACCCATGGTGTTAAATCCACTACATTGATGTTAATTTAACTACAACACAGTGAGAATTATATAGACATTGCGTGGTGTTACGTTTACACCGTTATTCTTTAGACTTTAGAATGTATGTACACTGAGAAAAATGATTGGGTTAAATAGTAATTCTTATGGAAAAAATAGACGAATCAGAATTTTCTGGTTAAGTTTATTAGAATTCTAATTGAGATAACTAGAATTCTGATTAATATAATTATTTATAGGTAAAAATAAGAATTCAAGTAGATTTTATCAGAAATATTGTGTCAATCAGAATTTCGGTTATGTATAATTATAAACTAATTATAATTGCTGTAAGCGCAAAATGGAATGCATCCTAAGTAGGATCAGTGTAGAGCAACTTATAGAAATGATAAAATAACTCAAATTTGACATTACGAATTTAACAGTAATATAACGTAATTATTCTTATATAAAATAGCAAAATATGTTAATATTAGATATATTGACATATACTCTTAGGGCGAGTGTATATAAATACTTACACAGATACGCGCGTGCGAACATACTATAGAGAAAATGGAAGGGATACATACGAATTTGTAGCTAGCAGGAACACCGGAAATTCGTATCTATCCTCCGGGGTAACCCGAGAAATCCGAGGACCAACATCCATGGTCCACCTTCTCCCTTCCTCCCTCCCTCCCTCCCTCTCTCTCAGCAAACTTTATCCTCCTGCCGGTGCAACTTCCGCCCCATTCTCTTGAATTTCTTTTTTTATTCGCTCCTCTCCATTAACGTCTTTTCTTTTCCGCGCTCGCAAAACTTTCTCATTATCTCAGCGAAAATACGCAACTCTCTTTCTCGGATTGAGTACGATTCAATTGGTTTTTTGTTGTTCGAATAAGGAAGTGATTCCGGGTATTGACCCCTAGACTAGCAAATCCTGTTTATGTGGCATTGTCAGGTTATTTTTAATTTCCATTGCATTTCAAGTATCTCTTATGTTCTCTTCTTTTAGCATAGTCTACAGAATATTAAATGAGATCGCTCTATAGTTTCAAATATTTATTTGATACATTTGATTAATTTATTAGATTATTCTATTATTACGTGCATTTGCTTGAACATAGCTCTTGTAATTTTTTTGTTTTTTCCATTTTCTTATTTTTAATTGTTCAATTTTTCATGTAATTTTTATTTGTAATACTTTATTTATTTATACTTCATGATTTATTTATTTTGATCTAACTAAAGAAGATTCAATGAAAAGTTGAAATTGTGTCATGACATTTTAAAATAAAGTTTATATCTATTTGTATTTGATATCTTTTAATTGCTCATCGTGACTTTCTTTTTTTCATGTAACATTGCTTTAAATATTCTAAATTTGACAATTAATTATTGAAACATTAAGAAATTACTGATAGTATAATATTTGAACACATCGTTTTATATAATTTGTCTCAGAATGATTAAACATCTTTTTGTTCGATAACGAATTTTTATGTAAATATAAAAAGCAGATTATAATAATAATTAAAAAATATTAGATAACTATGTAAACAATAAGTATGAGACATCGCCAAGACAGGAATGATACAATATATTAATATTTCATTGACAATCATTATACACTTTTATCTTATAATATAAAGTTACATAAATTAATTATCTACAAAACCAAACATACCTCGGTTACTTTGATGCATTTTCCAACTTTTTTAATAAGTATGTTTTTTTTATATCTAAAACTATTACATTTTTACTGAATATATGACTAACAAATGAATGTGACATGGCGCTCGGTTAATAAGATTGACTAATAGAATGCTTGCTTAATAGAATTGTCGGTAGTTAAAGCACGGACGGATGCAACACGTCGTAGCAAATCGGACACGATGGACGTGCCTTTGAAGTTTAATTCTCGGTGTAATTAGAGTCACGCCCGGCCATACAAAGTCGACCGTGCACGTCGTTACGACATTGTTCTCGCCGGCTGTAAATTCGTGTCTCGCGATGCCACGGCTAACGATTATACGATGGGATTCAAGTTATTCGTTGAATTTTCGACGCAGCATTTTTCGCTGCTCGTCAACGTGACAAAGGGAGCGAGATATGTGAGAACGGACGAGGCGGCATTCTGCTACCGGCTTTCGCGAATTGCATCGCAAAAGTTTTCACAAGAACTTTTGTTTTATTTGGGAACGGAATCCGGTTATTTCATTTTTGAACCTGGCGTCAAGGATTTTTGCTACAACAAAACCTTTTGATATCTTTTGATATCTTTCGTACATATCATTAACGAACATGCATTGTTCTAAGGCTGATATTAATAATATTAATTGAAACAGTTTTCTGACATCTGCGCAGATTTTCACGCGGTTCTCTTCTCTATTCTCTTTGCGAACGCAAATTATATTAGCTAGTTTGACGCATATATTTTCCGCTTGTAACTGCTTTGTAAAATATTGCAGAGAGGAAATGGCTGCGGGCGTAACATATACACAATTCACAAGTCTACCGTGAATTCACAAGTCCGCGATTACAGATAAATTAGAACGATAATACAAGTCATAAAAAAAATTTACTTGCTTACTGCTACTCAACCTTTTTTGCTCTTAGATTAAATTCCGTTGAAGACAACAATCTTATCGCATAGATCACAGATGTCGATAATTTCATTTAAGAAGTTGTATACTTTTTAGTAAAATTAATTTAAAAAATCTGCGGACCATTTTAATAAAACTTATACCGGCATTTATTTTTTCGTTATTATTTTAATGATCTATATTGATATGATTGTGATTTATTGAGAAGTATTCGATTTATATAGGGCTTAACTGACTGCAACTCAATCTTTTTTTACTATTAGATTAAATATTGTTGAAGACAGTGCAATTTTATTATGATGAAAAATGATTGGACATCGATAATTTTACTTAAATATATAGATATATAGATATATAGATTATATTTAATACATAGATATATATTATATAGATATTTTTAAAATTAAAAATTCACGAAGCATTTTTTAATGAAAATTTATGCTGGCTTTTATGCTTTAATTGCTTTATTGTTGTTTTAATAGTCAATTTATTGGATATTGCGATTTATTTAATCTCGTCTAAGTAGTCATGTATAGATATTTTTATAATTGATTTAAAAAAATCCGTGAAACATTTTAACGAAAACTTGTACTGGCTTGTTTACGCTTTAATTGTTTATATTGGATATTTTGCGATTACTAAAAAGTATTTAATTTACACGAGACTTAGACTTAACTTACCCATCTATCAGTGGCACGTCCTTTAGAATTCTGCGAGCTGCTGCGAGGCGATCTCCTGCGTGGGCCGCGAGCAAGATCCTCGTCAGTAGCTGACCAAGGACCATCACGCCCACCACCATCCTCATCCTCCTCCTCGCTGGACCCGCAGCGCGTCCTTACTAATGTCCTCATGCCATCACCATTAACCCACCGGCTCACCCGTAGCACTTCCTTCAACAGGGTTGCAGGATGGCCAGGATGTAATAGGATCGTCGATCCAACTCGTCTCGAGTTGCGTATCTAGTTAACTTCCACAAAAGGATTATCTAACATGACCATATTCTTAATGGCGACAGTTTTAAGACCTTCGTCGTACGACAGTGATAAAGATTTATCTCAATTTCTTGAAAATTCTTGGAGAACTTTCTCAAACTCGTAGATTATTTTGTGAGATTTCAATAGGGAGTTCTTCTGGGATTCGGGAAGGATTCGGCAATGTTTTTTTTACTGATAAGAGCAGCCGGAACCATGCACATGATTTTATCATTACACGTGGAAACACTCCGTCTCTTTTTTTGCTTGAATAACAGAGTTCAGGAATCAACGCTCACTTTCCTCTTCAAACGGTTCTTCTTATCTTCGGCACATTCGTCTTTACACATCCTTGAGCCCACCTCAATTTCTCACATTTAGTGGCCTCGAAGATTCACTTTTTCTACTGTCGTGATAGCTACTTTAGGCCCTTCCTCCTTTCGTTCTATCCAACCTTTCAGATTAACCTTCCAGTCTCATCGCCATACACTCCGTCCGATGCAGCTGTTCAGCGTTTCTTATTCCTCTCGTCTTCTGGTTTCTTGTCCTCCGAGTGGAATGCCCTCTTTGTGTCACTCGTCTTAGTACTTAATATCTCCGCACCGCATAGTCAACCGCATAGTCTTTAATGCGGACGCTGATTTTTGAGTATTGCGATGCATTTAAATCGATTTATGTCAATTCTTGCTGTAGCTTGAAATTCGTTCGTTCACTTTCGGAATTAATCTTTTAAACGTGCCTCGTTGAAGCGTGCCGTTTGTCACCACTGCTGCTTGCTCAAATGTCTGTACGTTGATTCTTTGCCGACATTTACCTGGTCGATCGAGAAATCAATTACTTGATGAGCTCCTCCTTAATAGAGCTATTCTTAATCGCTTGCAAGATGTACTTAGTGTGCTTTCCAACTTCACCCGTTACAAATTCTACAGAGGCGAAGATGACTTCCGAAGCATCGAATCGCCTCGGGGATTTGCTTCGATAGTTTGATCAGGCAGACAGGCTTTCAGAGGTTTCTCCCCGTTCTTGCGTCTTTCTATCAACTCTTAAGGATTGAAGGCCTCCGAGTAGCGTTCTTATCGACTTCTTCACCGGCGCTTGAGAGATCTAAAGCCAGTCGGTAATCGAAGACATGTCACCCCTTCCGCGATCTTCACCAGTGTAAAGTGCCGCTGGTTGAAACCACTTAAGCGAGGTTATCGATGTCGATGGTCTTTAATTTATGTCGGCACCAGTCTTGGGCGCTCGACGCACTTTGATCGAACTATCCACTAATGGTGTATTTAAGAAAATTGAATTCCAGTTAGCTCTGTTAATTAAGACAGCATCTCAAACGTTGAATCTTCTCACCGTTTTTCTTCACTGTCTTGTCTAGTATGCGCTGTATTCGCAGCTTGTGCTACCTCCAGTTGAGAGTTTCACAGAATCGTTACCTTCTCGAGGGTGTCGTGCTACGGTGATCCCACAGGCGGTCTGCTCGTTACCGTCCTGAAGATTAATTAGACCGGCGAGACGGAGACGTCGTACTACCCGAGCGCGAAAACCTTTCCCTAGTTCTTTTTTTATTCCCGCGGTCGGGGATCAGTGTTCCGGCATGTTTTTGATACGCGATTCATCTTCCGATATCTTCGCGATTTCACGTTTTCTTTTTTTCTCTCTTTCTTTTTCTTCGTCCTTTAAGAGAATAAGTCCTTTCTCTTTTTCGTTGTTATTAAATCACTTGCATCGGCGACGGCGTTTCATAATCGTGCGTGGCAAATGTCACTGTCACACAACGCGGCTCGTAAATCCGTCGCGATTAATTCGGCACTCGATTAAGTTCCGCGATTAATTGCGCACTTGAAACGCGGCGGGCGGATCTCACGGCGCCACAGCCACGGCTTCGACGTCACTAGGAAATGAATCGCTACTCGGCCCGGATATTTTCTAACTTCCGCTGACCTGTAAGAGGTAGATTTTTCTAACTCGTAGCTCGACTTGCGAAGAATTATCGCCTGAAGGAATCTTCGACGAGGAATATATATAGGTTGGCGAATTGGTACGAGTTGAAATTCACGTGATAGTTCAATTTTAATTATCGCAAAAATTTTAAATGCACTATTAACGTCACTTTGATAAATTACATATACTCGATCGAGCTGATTTTGAAATTTGTTTGCCATCGCGTAGCCAATGAATGAACCGATAGTGGATCAAAAGAACATATTAAAAATCCATATTAACATTTTTAATAAGCTTTTATAATAGTGATGTTATGTGTTGAGAGAAATTAATGCCAGCTCAGAGTCCCGGGTCCCGGGTAAAGCGAGTAGAATTTTCGGTCTCTCTCTCTCTCTCTCTCTCTCTCTCTCTCTCTCTCTAGTAATAATATGATTATCTCCTCCATTAATGTCTTACTCTCGTCAAAATTAATAGAGACCAGATTGGTTAGCATCGCGTCGGATTACGGAAAGGCGATCAAACTGGTGCATAGCATCAGCTATAATTGATGACTATAATCCGTTCGTCTCTGTTATTCCCGCGGGTATTACCGTCGCAACATTTCGAGTTATCGTAACATCGGACGTCACAATGATAATTCTCGCGTAATCATTTCCAGCCATGATTTCTTTTTTGACATGTAATCTCATTTTGTGCGTCACATCGAACGATCGTAATCTTCTCATCGCGTTGATAATTCGACAGCTTACAGAAGACCAGATAAATCGAGGGAAGGGAATGGTTCGCAACAACGAGGCCGTTAACGTCGATTGCGACTAATGAGTTAGCTTGTTCATAATTATCGGCAGACGCGCGGTCGCTCACGCCCGGTTAGCGCCGTGATACATGGTATTTATCTACATGCCAATGATTAATTAATGCTAACGGCATTAGCGATCATGTCTTTTCAACAGTTGCCGAGTTTACGGTATACGCCGTATTGTGCACTAGGTGCTCTTTAACTATTCCGACAATATCTATCCATATCAAATTTTAACAGTAAAAATTTTTTATTGCAAATGAATGAAGAGAGTCGTGTTTGATTAAGGTGAGTCTTGGTGTCTAGAAATATTTTATGTCAATTTTTACAATTTCCAATTCAAGCAAATTATGCGTTGAGTATTTATTGATCTTGAAACAACTTAGCCTGAAACTGGAATAGGTACGTACTTTATAAATTAAATTGGTAAGCAATTTAATATTACTGATGCTGATATAAGCAGCTTTAAAACACTATAAATAATTTATTTATATAAAAATTTTTATATTTTTGTAAATAAATTTCGTTTCAAAAACTTCTTTTCCAAAAACAATTTTGCACAGACTTTATCTCATTTTTGCTTTTACATTTCTTGTGGAAATCTTGTGAAACTGGTAGGAGAAAAGTGAAAAATTATGCTTTGACAGAAGGCTTACCTTTCTATTATGTTAATACGACGGATTTCTGTTGTATATCTCTTTTGTTTTATGAAGGAGATCTGAAATGATTATAATTTGCTCGGTACATGTTTTGAAATTAGAGATCGGTGCGAAAATTTAACTTGATATAATCGTTCTTTATATTAATCACACATTGGATTATGTGTATGCTAATTTTTAGCAACGTTTTTAATTTATAGAATTTTAATATATAAAAAAAATACAACTGGCAGATATACAATGCCGTGAAAAGTTTGGACATTTCTATATTTTATTTGCACAACAGATATATTTATCTAGCATCTGCTACATTGTTTATCGAAGCATGTGTTTATTCGAACTTATAATGAAAAAACTTTTTCACGCACAGAAAAACAAAATTTTGTTTCCCATATCGAAAGGAGGTCACCGTGGTGATTTGAACTTTTAATACAATCGCCGTTCAAGAACATCTTTTTTTACAATAGGGCACATTCGATGGCATTAATTGACGCGAGGGAACTTCATCGACGTCGTAAGTTTAATATTCGAAGACGCGCGAACGACCCATATTTTAGCGTGACGTGGAAAAGTGACAAGTTAATTTAACGATCGACAAGATGTACAGTCATCGCTGATAGCAGCAGATTTTTCCGCAAAAATGAACACGCGAATCGAGACAGATGCACCTGACAGCTGTGTTTCTTGGTAGACATTTCAAACAGTTTCTTTCAACAGTGTATCGAATCGCCGCCAAGTTACTGGAATTGCTTTCGAAATTTGGTCATCCGAGAAGAGAAGTTGTACCTCCGAAATATGACAGATTTTTCTTTCAAACACGAATAGTGACTGAATAATTATTTCTATTCAGTATTTGAACTATGCAAAATTGTTGACATCTATTTAAAACATTTATTTAAATTATTTTATGAAACTGTGCTTCTTCTCACAATTTTTTTTACCGCAATTGACTTACAAGTATTCCAATATTTTTTATAAAAATCGTTTTGTATATAACGCTGCGACGAAGAGTGTGCGATTTAAATAAACGCGATGCTTCTCCGCGAGATCTTACCACGGACGTTTCTCTCCGCCCTTCCGTTCCTATAAAAATTCCGGTGCTCGTTCCGCAGGACGGTACACGTCTCATAAAAATTCGCGTGCGGATACAGGACGCATCTGTTCCGCTCATAAAAAGTCACAGAAGTGCTCCCCGATATATAAGATCCTTCATGCGATTTTCCTCGCAGGCCAACCGCGCGAAACTTTTTACGAAGCTTTTCAATACTAGTTTCGCCCTTCACGAAAGCGAGATTGCGAGATCCTGTTTACGGGCGTGCGGATGAAACGACCGGCATGCTTTGGCAAGAATCCCGGAATATCCTCGAAATTTCGTACGTGATCCTACTTCGATCTCTTCTCCGACGTGTGCAGTGGGATAGGTCGGCGCAATCACGACCCACATATACCGGAGGGGTGGTTCCGTCGGGTGGGTGCGTCGCGACGCGGACGACGGCGCGGATCGTGCCGTTGCTCGCGGTCCGGAGTTGAAGACCCGACTGCTGGAAATGCACGCAGGAACTCCGGCACAGTCGAGGGCGCAGGCGCCTCCGCGTCTCTCTGCGATCTTTTCCCTTTACACGGAGGCTGCCCCGTCGCATCGCGTTGCACCGCACAGCGATGCACCCGCGACGTGCATCTCCGATGCCTTTCCAAGTGTCGCTCGCTACTCTCTTCGACACCGCGTGTTGCGATCTTAGGCCAAGCGCGCGCTATCTTCTTTCTCCGCTATCTTTGCTGAATCTCTACGGGTACATACGTGCGCTCCGACAACACATATGTCACAAAGATTGTACACATGGTTTACTGAACTGAGTAGCTCCGCGCGTGCTTAAACACGCGCTATTCGAGCGTCGGGTACAAGTTTTACTTTAGATATTTATGATACTATCATTTTTCGAACGACAGAATAACGTTGTATTTATTATCATTGCATTCTCGCGTAACAGATCAGCGAATTTCACAAGAATTATGTACATGGTTTGCTGAAATAATAATATCGCATGTGCTCAAAGCAGTTACCTTGTTATTCAATGTTAAAGAATCAAATTTTTAATAATGTTTCATTGTTTTTAACTTCTAATGCGTTTCCACCAATAAAGATTAACTTTAATCTCGATTCAACTTCATCTTTTTCTAGTCTAAAGATTAGAAAAAGATAAAGAGTAAGTTGAACCGAGATTAAAGTTGATCTACATTGGTGGAAATGGATCTTAGTATGTCAAATAATACACTGAAGAAAAAATGTAGTAAATTTTAATAAATATTTGTTTGAATAATATAGCTGAATATTTATTAGATGTGAACACATATTTATTTTGACAAAAGTTCTATTAATTTCATTTAATCATCATTTTTTAAAATTTTATTTAATTTATTTTTCTAGTAGGTGAATGTTGTAAGAATTAGTACTATTTAAAAAAATATTTCTTAAAATTAGCACATTTTTTTCGGTTAATATAATATATTATTTTAATATAAAACATATTAAGAACAACTAACTATCTAAAAAAAAATCTACTATTTTTTGTGAATCTACATATTTGGAAGTTAAATCGCTTAGTTACAAATTAAACAATTTACATTAACATATGCACTTAGCAAGTAATAAATTATATTTGAGTCACATTTAATACATTTCTTGAGTTAAATTTGATTCCATCGTTTTAATTAAATTAATGACATATTTAGGAGCAGTGGCGACTAGGAATGATTAAAAATAACAAATTTAACAATGAATCCAAACAGATAAATAAAAAGTGACATCAAAATGGCTGCAAAAAGATTATTAAAAGTCACTTTTCTATCAATCACAATTCATTTTATTCATGTCTCTTAATTTGATGTTATCGTGATTTGCTCTTAGATATCCCATGCGTCTCAATCTCACTTCAGAGATTTACACCATCCTTCGGCAGAGTAACGCTTTATTTATTCATTGAATTTTTGCGAAGTAAATTAGTGAATTTTCTCGCAGATTACTTGATATTGGTTGAAATGAAATTTCTTTCCTTCCAAGCGTGAACGCGTCAAACTTCCATCGTACGCATACAAGTTTTACAGCGTGCAGACTTGCTGCTCGTTCGCGTAAAGTAGTGAAAAAAGAAGATACTGCGTCAACCACCCCTTACGCCCGGGTTACAGCTGGTCTTCTTTCCTTGGCGGAATAACTGGCACTTCCGAAGATGGGTCTGTAACCTCGCAATTTTATACCGATCGTTCCTGCCGAACGGAGAATTTTTACCCTGTGATCCTGCACGGCGGAATAGGCGGAATAGGGAGAGTCTAATTAAACGTGCAGAAAAACGCAGAATGCATCCTTAACTTAAAGGCATGTTTTTATTTCGCCTCATTCTATGAGGAAGCGCATGAATGCTGGTATTGTTTGAACTCTAGAATAAATTCTTTTATCTGATTCGCAATTCTTTTATCTAAGCCGTATGCCAATAACTTTCCTATTGACTATTTTAATCGCTATTTTTGACCCGAAGGTCTATCAGCCAATAAATAAGTAATAAATAATAAAGTTTAGTAAATAAACCAAAATAAATAAATAAGTACTTTTAAAAATATCAGTGAATTTAATATTTTTATTGTGGATTTAAAACTCATATGATGTCTATATAATTCTCACTGTGTTGATTAATATTAATTAACATTATAGTATATGGATTTCAAACTTCTAGCGTTTATACCAATACTATCATGATGTGGATTTAAAATTCATAATATTAAATTTACTTCATTTTGGTTAATATTAACACCAACACAATAAGACACTGCTATTTTTATTAGAGTATATAATATAACACATGTGTATTATGTTATGGTTATAAAAATGTAACACACTTGTGTTATATTACAATTATAGGTATTATTCAGTGAGAAATTACAATTAACATGTTACGTGTAACTATTTGTTGGATAGTAATTCTTTAATATAATATAGTTATTAGGCCAAACATTGTGCGCTACCCTGGTACATTTAGAGCGCTGGATATCGCAAATGTGTTTGCCGACTGTGCGAATTCATTCTAAGTTTTCCCTTCGGACAGCCAGCGCTCGGGAATTATTGCTCGGCAAGTTCTCCGCAAGGAAAGTTGTCAGGCCCTTGCGTCATTGTTATGTATCATGCTGGGAACTTTATGTCGTATCTTACGTTGACTTCCGACGCATCGCGATATACTGTCGCGCCAATAGTCGTGCTACTTCCCTGGTGCATGAGATACGCGCGGTTTATCTTTTATTCCGATAGAACGCGGACGCGCGTCTTCGACGTTCCGCATTTGTATGTTACTTTGTCTCAGCGTGTCGTCTTTTCGAATGACGTAAGACGAGGACCACCGAAATTTTTCCAGTTCAGAATACGCTGGGTTTCTGTCTTGTAGCTATAAAACACTGCCATGGTTACAAGATTTCGATACTCCTCTTTTGCTTTTTCTTCCGTGTGCCACGTCGTATTTCGCACTGCGATACCTACGTTAGAGACGGGATGATTGGCCTTGAGAATAAAATGTTCGCGAAAAAGGAAAGAGAAACGCGTGGTAGAGAAGTAGGAGGATCCTGCATTAATGTCTCCGTGGAGGAACAGCACGGACTACAATTTCGTAAATTACTTTACGCTGCTGCTGCGAGCTTTTGTAGTATAGATAATAACGGAGCAAGGGAAATTTTTGCATTGTAGGAGAGAAAGAAAATATGTTGAGAAATAATTTCGCATATTTGTCTCTCTTTTTTTCCGAGAAGGAAAGACTGGACAGAATTACTGTTATATTTAAATAGCTTCATAGAGATACGAGAAAATGAAAGACTGCTAAATACTTTGACGCAGATATGAACGATTATTTAATGTTTTTATTAATTTACGAAACAGCTTCAAAGGAAGTCAAATAATAGACTAAAGTAGATAAATCGAACCAATTCTATTTATTGATAAAAAAAAATTATTAAAAGTTTTATTATTAAGTTTTACTATAAATTCTTAATTTTTACAACTTGATTATATAATAAAAATAATATTGGATTGGGGAAAGTTTCTTCGACCTTTTAATTTGATTATATTATTATATATTATTATTTTTTAATAAAATTGTATATATAATATCTTCGTCAAAAATGAATTTAAATTTAAAAAAAGGATTTTAAAGCTTGAAATTTTTACTTTTGAAAAGTTATTATATTTTTTGAGTTTCTGTGAGTTTGGTAATTTTTACATTTAAAAAATTATTGTACGAGTTGAAAAAGATGAAAAATTTTCTTTTCACTTTGGGAGTCTCTCACGTTCCCAAAAAAAAATTTACGAAAATTTTCGACTACCTATCGTGAAAGCTTGAAGCTTTCCCTATAAAATCATTTTTTAAAAATATTCCTATGATTTTTTGTTCCTGAATTATTCGCGAGTTAAGGAGCATTCTGACTTCGATTGCTCATAACTCCGATAAAGATTAGATAAAAATCATCATATCGCAATTTAAAAAACAGATTCTTAAAGCTGAAATTTTGCTGTAGCGAATGATATAATTATAACGAAAATTTCGCAACAAATAAAAAACTTTTGCAAAATTTTTTTAAATATGAAGAAACTTTTTCCCCGGCCTAATATATAAGCATCGTATTTCTTATTGTACAACAAAAAATAAAAAAAGATGAATTTATCCAATACGAATTGCGGCGAAGCCGATCACTTTACTAAATTACTAAATTGATTTAGCAAACTGTAAAAATCATTATAATTTGTTTTAATATATAATTTTTTATTACATTGTCATAAATTCGTGATCTCTGCGCTTGTATCGTTGACTGGCACTGGATTACACACAGTATAGAATTGTTGTTTATTATTTCCGGTGCAGAGGAATGGAATGAAAATAACATGATAAAGCACCTATTTGAAACACAAAATAAATATGAAACACGAAATTAATAACAATTATTGATTAAGGTCCGGCTCCAATGTAAGTTGTTTTTTTTTCTAAGAATTAAGGAAATGATGAATGGTAAGTTAAACCGACATTAAAGTAATCTTACATTGGTGGAACCGAACTTAACTATCTCAAAATTTATATTGATCCGATTCCTCGGGCTACTTTATCGTGGTGTGAATCGAAGAAGGAAAGAAGAACTTTTTTAAATCTTAATCGAGATTATATATGCGGATGATCTGCAGAAAATCCGCAAAATGAACCGAAGTATTTGCAGAGGACCGATCTAATTTCATGTGTATCACGATGATAAATAGATTCACTTCCTGAGAGATAGGAAGATGGAAGATAGCTTGTCGAGACTCTATTTGGTCCGAGTTATCCCGCCACCTTATTGAGTTATCCTTTCGTTAGCTCGGCCTAATCTTCCTCTTTGGCTCTCGCCACGCTCTCGATCTTCTACCGACCCTTCTCATAACTTTGATTCCCGCCGTGCTTCTCCAGCTTCTCTTTTCTCTCTCTCTCTCTCTCTCTCTCTCTCTCTCTCTCTCTCTCTTTCTCTTTCTCGATCTTTCTAT